CTAAGTTTGTGATAAAAAAAATCTAAATTAATAAGAAATATGCTATTCTTAAAATTCGTTTAAAATTGTTTTAAAAATCATATATTTATCACTAAATTGTGTTGTGCTCTGTCGCGCTACTATTTTTATGAACGTTGCCTTTATCTAGACAATTGGGTCGAAAGTCAAGCAAACTTATTTCTCTTCGTGTTATCCATCAAACAAGAAAAGAAAGCAAGAATTTTATTTAATGAATATGAGAGTTATCAATAAATCTAACAGATTTCGGAAAACACAAAGATTGTTAAGCTCTAAACTCCTTTGACTTTCCGACAAAGCCTTATCTATTAGCATGCAGTCGATTTATAAGTGCTCCTAATTCATATACAACATTTTCATTATATAAATCATAGGATATAAAGTCCGCCTCTAATGTCAATATTTCAATTAGTTTTAAATTTACGGCAGCTACACAACTGTCGCGTGGCGTGGGCATATTATTTTTGGTTAAATCCTGAGAAGAAATTCACATACAATCTTCCAATCATCAATGTAGACTCTATCATTTTACGGCATTTGCTTAAAAATTGTTAAAGAGCAGTTTCTATATATGCCACGCCCCCCCCCCCCTCCAAAATAGTGAAATATTTTAGTTGCATCTATAGAGCAGATCAAACGGACGGACACCAAGGCGGACATCGCACAAAAAGTACTATATCACTTCGCGAATCTATTTTTATGGCTTAACTCAAACGCTGATGGGCGTGGCCTGTGAATTGAAATATATACATAAACAGTCTATAATAAATGGAAGTATATGATGATACACCATTAAGTCCGAGAATAGCAGCTCAAATAATTTATTGAAATATTTAAAAACATTTGCTTCGATAAGAGCAGAAATTATTAATCAAATATGAGCATATAAATATATAAAATATTAGAATATATGAACATCATCAAACATACAGACGCTAATATATATAAATATATATATATATATATGTGTTTTTTTTTCCAAATATTCTTTTTTGTATTCATTGAAGCCGCTCTTTGCATATTGTTTGTTAATTAGCGGCAGTTAATTGACTTTTATTGCGCTTAATTATCAGAGGCGGCCAGTGGCAGCGCGGCGCTGGGCGGGCAGCGGTTGGCTGGGCAAGCGGGCTCCACCTTTGGCCCGCCCGCCCGCATGGCTATCAAGCCACAAGCGTATGCGGCCCATAAATTTCCACACACAAACACACTCAAATATTGTTATGCATATTTGTATTGGACGCGTAACTATAATTGCGGCTTCTTATTGGCGTAGCACCCGCTTTTAATTTGCCAAATTAGCAACGAGCCTGAGAGCCCCGCCAAAGAGGCAGAAGGCAAAAGGCGTCTGCCCACGCAACTATGCCATGTTCCATGCTCCAGGTGTGCGCGGCCTGTGTCCATAATTATAGCGGCCATACCCCCATCCACAGCATACGATTCGTATTTAGTATTCATACTTATTAGGCGTGCGTTAATGTTACGCGGCAGGGCGGGGCGAGGCGTGGCGCAGCGTAGCCCGGCATTCGGGCAGGTGAAACGCATATGAATGTTATACATATGTATGTATATATATATAAATTTATAGATCTGAGCTCATTGCATGAAGTTTCCACGAATTCGAGCTGTTGTGGCTGCTCTTGCTGCCATTTCAGCTTGTTGCCTCAATTAATGGAATGCTGAAATATTCAAATTTTATTGCCAAATTAAAATAATTGCCCTTAACATGACTTTCATTCAATTGCTGAAGAAATATGCTAAAACAAAAGACTTAAGCAACGAACGTTAAAAATATTTTCAAAGACTTTCTACAGTTTCTAGATCCAACAGTTATGCGAAATAAAAATATATATAAATTATATATATATGGTAATAAAACATAAATATCGTAAATGCTATTCTTATTCGATCAAATTATATATTTTGATTAAGAATTATTTCTTAAAACAAACTTCAAAGTTAAATAAAACTGTTTTGAAGATTGAGCTATGCTGTTAAAGATGATCTTTGCCACCGATAGTAGATCTTTTTATCTCTAGAGATTAGATGGCATTTGCTTCTTCTTCTTATCTATCTAAGGAAAGAACGTAACGTAGGCTTAGAGCAAAAACTTGTGAAGCTCAAACGGCATGCTTAGACGACTTATGCTAAATAGTTGAGGGATGTAGTTGACTATATAATTTTATTAAATATTGATACTGAAGTCTTCAATATGATCCTGAATTCAATTGTATAATCTTCAAAATGGTTTTTAATGCATTTCAATGCCGTCGCTAAGACTGCAGTTCAGATGCACAACTCTTCCACATAAACAAAATTTGTAATAAAAAAATTAATTATGGACAATTGGCGTAGATATGTATACTATATGTTTATGATTTCAAGTGTCTAGCACCTAAGCTATTAAACTTCGTGAACGAGTATCAAATCTAGTGAGCTTGACAATTAAAGACGAAATGCTAAAGGCTAAATTACATTACCGATACAGAGAGAAGGGCAGAGCGACTTAAAGAATTTAAATGTTTCTCAGACATTTCACATCCATTTGACAAAGCTAGCTTATGAGTCATAAATAACATTCAAACAGAACTACGACAAGCATTAAGGTTTGTGATTCACACAAAATTCACTTTGTTGGGTCGAAGACGACTTTTCCCGCCTGTTACATGTGCCTAGCATCATTTTCCCCTCTTCCAAGAGTTGTAAAAAGAATAAAAAATGTAAGAATAACTAAGCGGTGAGAGAACGTTTTGCGGTTTTGTGGGCAAACGAATTAAATTGTTAAGAATCAGCAAACAACAGTTGGCCTGGCTATGATCCTTCAAGCGCTGCTGCGGTTGGCTATACAAATGGATTTTTAAATGCCCTGAAACCGCAATCGATCGTTAAATTATGTTCCGCATCCCTAGCGTGCAGTGTGAAACGATATTACAGTATAGTATATATATATATATATATGTATCATACAGAAAGGGACGATCAATATACACATATAATAATATAAAATGAAACGCACCAAAGTGTGGAACAAAACGTATTTCACTCTATAAGCACTTGACATTGATCTAGATACCTTGAGAAATGTTGATTGAACTAAACATTGTTTGTCTTCTTAAGTTACGGTATTTAAAATAGTTCAAATAATTGCATCTATATAAAACTACGTATTTTTTAATAAATGGTAATAAAATAAATAATAATGAATTTAAGTATTTTGTTTTTAAATTAAACTTGATTATTAACTTGCGTTGCTGCGCTCAGCGAAACATCCGTTGGAGTATGCTCTTGCTCAAAGGCAACTGAAAAGCTTCAACAGATCTGAAAACTTTACGGAGAATAGTCATATTAAGTTATTTTGATATATTCGTAAGTAGATTCCAAACATCAAAATTGACTCATTGACCGATGCGTTGGTCGTAACCTCTGAGAGGCGAGCCGAGCTACATTGCGGCGAATTGATAACTTCACCATTTAAGCCAAACCAAACATGAATGATAAGATGTGAGGCTAGACTTTTTAGTTTGTGTAGACAAGGCTTTTAACCGAGGTGAGAAGTTATTTCAATATATGAATCGCTCTGGTAACTGTGATGGGATTATCCTCTTCAGTCATTCTTCTTCTGTGCCGCAGTCTTCTGGCAGTCTTCTGTTGGGTTAGACATTTTCCCGTGATCTGTTTGTATAATTTGCTATTGAGCCTGAGGGACCAAAACATATTATGCGTATTTGGGACTCAGTATATTTGGGACCTGTCCTATGTCTTTTCAGAAGGCTAGCCGTAAGTCGGGTGTAATTCCGAGATAGTCCCTTCTGTTTGTGACGATTGCAGCTAGATATAAACAGTAATTTTTCCATTTGTTGATCAGTTTTCGATTTAGTCCCTTATGATGTCCTTGGCTTTGTAGATGCTTTTGATGCACTGCACAATACTTAAAAAAGAGCTTTCAGAGATTTTTTGATCGTTTTAGTCCTTTATGTTCAATGCAATAATCGGTTCGACCTCGATTCGATATGTACTTTATTTGATTGGGAGCAATTTATTTGTTCTCTCTCCCCCTCCCACACTCTTTGTCCGTTAAAATGGTGCCATATATGTATATATATTTGTATATATATTAATATATATATAGCTATTCATATGTTATATAAAGTAAGTCCGCGCACGCATAACGGCGCTTTTAATTTGGGCCAAAGAAGACCCTATTGAATTGATTCAAATCGAATCAAACGATCAGTTGCGAGCTCTCTCGCCTGAACTGGCTATCTCTCTGGCTTTTTTGGAAGCTGCGCAGCTTGTGCTGCGTTGCGTTGCGTTTCAATGTATCATAAAGCTCACGATCGGCTCACTAATTATGCTTAATTATTGATTATTGCGGGTTTTCACTAAGCCGCCAAATTGCGCGTACGTGCGTCTGTAAAATGACTTTCACAGATATCTTGGCCATTGTTTTTGTGGCTGCTAATCACATTAGCGAGGGCAAACTGTATCAAAAATTAAGAAATAATTTCGACCAGATTCTTTACGACCAGAAACACGCACACCTTGCTGTCGCTTATTATACTCAAAGTGTACAGAGTTAAGGAATGCAATGTCTGCAATCTGTGCAACTTCGACGATAAAAACAAACAGATTGTTAAGGCTTATTGTATATTCTACTTAAAACGCTGACATGCTATTTATTATCCGTATAAGTCTTTTCAATTTATGTTTTACATGTTCTATATATCTATATACACGCTTTAGCAGCTTAGCTTAATAGTGGGTTAGGTAACATAATCGAACTCTACGGAGAAACGTTAATTTCAAAATTAAAATTTGTTTTTGAAATGCGCGCTCGTTAGCGCCATCCATTGCCTACAGCGTAAACTAAAAGCAATGCAAATAACACAAAGCTGAATGCTATGTGTGATAGAAGTGCAAATGGCATTTACCATAACTTCAGACATCGCTGTGTGGTTGACAGCTGTTCACTCAATCGCTCACCCTCTCTCTCTCTCTCTCTCTCTTACTCTTTGCTTCAACGAGGTGGACGGAATCAGCAGCCGTGCAGCAACTTTAGTTTATTTTGACCGGCAGCAGAGATTAATGTAAATAATATTGCAGAAGCATTTGTATTAACTGAATATCATTTTATAATTTTGAAGTAACTTTGCAGTCAGGGCGAAGAACAGCGCACGGATTTGAAGTAAGTGTAAACAGCAAGCAAGCGACGTTGAGGTTAGGTCGAATGCTGTTGTGGCCAAAAATAATAAAAGCCATAAATACATATACAAATATATATCTATATATATACATATATATATTTTGTAGCAACAGTCAATATGCCACCTAAGAAGCACGATGAACCTGAACGCAAGCCGCTGATCGGACGCATTGGCACTAACCTGCGCATTGGCATCGTCGGCGTGCCCAACGTAGGAAAGTCGACGTTCTTTAATGTGCTGACCCAGAGCGCCGCGCCAGCCGAGAATTTCCCCTTCTGCACCATTAAGCCCAATGAGAATAAGTATTCCAATTACCATGAGCTGCCGCTGGCCATTGCAGTCGCAATTTGCGTTGCCTCCAAATAATTGTAATCAATGTTATTTTTTTTTTGTTCTGTTGCGTTCGATCGATTGCCTTGCCGCAGCTTCCATGAGTCGCTTCTAAGTTGGCTGCCGTCGCGGGGGCGTGTCCCAATCTCGGCAATTTGCCAGATCTAGTTGCAGGCTAAGATTCCACAGCCAGCCAGTCAGCCAGCCAGCAGCTGCTTCGTATGCAAATTACGCGCAGCCCATTTAATTTGAGCGACTTCATTTTGAGTGCTCGCGGGTTTTGGTGATTTTATAAAAATTATAGAAAATTGCAATGATTGGCAATGTGGCCAGGGCAGTGCCTGGCATTGAATGCCCGCCCCAAACTCCCAATTACAATAAAAGCCAGCTAACATGCTCTCTCCCTTTCCTTCTCGTTCTGTCTCTCTTGCTCTCTATGTATCGCTCGCTCGTCTTGCCTTACCCATACGTCGCGTGCCCGTGCCCGATGATCGTTTTGACTACCTCGTGGATTTCCACAAGCCGGCCAGGTGAGTGTGGCATATATTGAGTGTCAAATAAGAGTGGCTGGAGCCATTTGATCAAATATATATCTTTTCTCTTTGGTTGTAGCGTTGTGCCCGCTTATCTGAATGTGGTGGACATCGCGGGGCTGGTCAAGGGTGCCGCCGAGGGGCAGGGCTTGGGTAATGACTTTCTTTCGCACATCAGTGCCTGCGATGCCATTTTCCATTTGTGCCGCGCCTTCGAGGATCCAGATGTAACGCATGTGGAGGGCGAAGTGGATCCCGTGCGCGATTTGGGCATAATTGCCGAGGAGCTTCGTCTGAAGGATGAGGAGAAACTGTTGCAGAATCTGGATAAGTTGGAAAAGGTTGTGGCCCGTGGCGGCGACAAGAAGCTAAAGCCCGAATATGAGTCCATGTTGAAGATCAAGGACATCTTGATGGATCAGAAGCGTCAGTTGCGCTTTGAGGACTGGAATGCCCACGATGTAGGTAACCAACATTTCTATCTGATTTCATGCTTCTCATATTTCCTCTCCTCTCAAAGATCGAAACGTTGAACAAGTATCTGTTCCTGACCTCCAAGCCAGTCATCTATCTGGTCAATCTTTCCGACAAGGACTTCATCCGCAAGAAGAACAAATGGCTGCCCAAGATTAAGGAATGGATTGACAAGAACGATCCGGGCGCTCTACTTATTCCCTTTTCTGGCGCATTCGAGCAGCAGCTTAGCGAGAAGGATGAGCTCGAACGCAAAGGTTACGAGGACGAGACTAAATGCAAGAGTCAGCTCGACAAGATCATTATAACTGGGTATAAGGCCCTCCAGCTGGAATACTTCTTCACTGCCGGCCCCGACGAGGTCAAGGCCTGGACAATACAGAAGGGCACAAAGGCGCCACAGGCAGCAGGCCGTATTCACACTGATTTCGAGAAGGGATTCATTATGGCCGAGGTGATGCACTTTGAGGATTTCAAAGCCGAGGGCAGTGAGGTAGCCGCCAAGGCGGCTGGAAAATACCGCCAACAGGGACGCAACTATACGGTCGAAGATGGCGATATCATTTTCTTCAAATTTAACGCCGGAGCTGGTCTAAAGGATGCTAAGAAGAAATGATGCTGCTTCGCCACCTACATTGTCATGCTGACCATCATGTACATGAATTTAATTCTATATTCACAACTGTTTTAATTTGCCTGATGCCAAATGCTTTGCTTCCACACGCTCCCAAGTAAAAATGCATTTGTTTTTTTTTTTTATGACTCAAACACTTGTGATTATTATTGGTAAATTTGATCTAGGTCCAAAGGGTTGGGTATTTCTCCCCAAGTCTACGAAGCTTGCATATGTAATCGATTCCTCACAAGGGCAATTACTCAAATTATATAAAATTAAAAATGTATAATACACATGATTTATAGCGCAGCCTTTTTATGAAAACAAATTTAGTTTTTATTTCATTATTAAATGTTGATATATACATATTTCGTAGTTGTTGGCGGTTATATTGCCTAAATATAGAAGAAATTGAATTTTCGAGCAGTGCCAAGTGAGTAAAAACTTCTATTGGTGACATTGCGGAGAGCAGATAGCTATCGCATATTTAAGGTAACCAATTTGAAGTAAATTTTTATTTGCTTCAATCATTGTAAGTACCAATATAGCAAATGTTTGTGTAACATCTTTAAGCCTCACAGATTGTGATAATAATTGTTAACAACTAAAGCCTATAATTGACATATAACATTTAAATTCTAAGTATTGGATTAACATAATGTTGTTATGAAACTCACGAAGCCCAAGCCTGAAAGTACTGCTTATATATAAGCCACACAGATTGACCGCTTATATATAAACAGATTGAGATCTCAAAATCAAATTTTATTATGTAGCATAATTCCATATAACTATTCATTCTATATAACTATTATAATACAATACTCATATCTAAGACTTATCGATAAGCTACTCATTTTGGCACCGTTATGTTATGTTATGTTATCGTTTGCGATCAGCATTGTTAATAAAAATTAAAGGATCCAAAAACAAAAAACTTTTTACAGTCTTTTATTTCGTATACTTGTTCTGTAGTAGTAGCTAGCCGTTTCTTTTTAGAATGCATGTTATACACGTAACTGACTTGGAATACATTTGTTAGCAACGATGTTACAGTATAAACTGTATAACAGCGCTTAAACAGTGCTTATTGAGTAAAACGGCCAATATCTAAAAGGCCAACTTAAAAGTTAACTGACTGCGGCCACTTTTTGTCTAATTTTGAGCCGATGTTTTATATTCAAATAAAATTCGATGCCTGACTGGCTGTGCGGATTTCTATATTACATTGCCTAATGGTTAATGTTATGGAGAACAGTTTCCTAATGACATACGTTTAAAAAACCATATCCTTTTGAATTAACTGCCTAAAAGTATGCAACGATTTTCCCTTTTGAAAAGCACTCCCACAAATAATTTAACAATTAAATATATCTAAAGTTTTGTTTTGTAGTCCCTCATTTTAATGTGTATTAATAAATTTTTGTAGTTTTTATTGGAATACAAACAGAATATTCTTATTTAAGGTTGGGCTGCAGTAAAAATCGAATTCAAATACATTTTAAAGTTGGCAAGAAGAAAAATATTAAGAATCATACAACGGAGTGAAATCGACTGCAGAATACTCATTCAGTTAAGCGTATTCCGAAATCAATATTTCCGATCCAATGAGCGGACCATATAACTTAAAGCTATACTTAGAGCATTTATTGTATATGGCGATTTTAGCTCCGTAGCTTAGGAACATATAGTTTTTCGGATCCAGTAGGTATGAATGTATAGTATCCAACTCAAGAGAAGCTCTTGGAATTTTGGATAGAGTTCCGCCTAAAACTCAGCAAGATATAGATATATCGATTATGCCGTTCCTTTTCCATTTGTTATGCCTTCAAAAGGAAAAATTTTGTTTCCAATTGAATTGAGAAAATCAGTTTATAGTTTCAAGTTTCCAGCTATTAAACATTAGTTAATATGGATTGCATTTAAATATATATACCTCATATAATATATATATACTTAAAATTTCGTGTAATTTTCTCAGAAAAAACTCACTATAAAAACATATATAACTTCTTGTTCAAACTCCAATGATATGATATAACATAGACTCTACTAATCTATACTAAGCTATACTATACTGATCGACGTGCACTAAGATGTATCTTGTAGTGGACCATATCTGCTTGCTTTATATAGGATATCTTGACATTTATTAACAGTTCGATATCGAGAGCCCTGGTATATAATGGCCCGATGTCTGAGTTAGGTCAGTTAGTTGGGATCGCATAGGAAAATTCGCTGACGCGGTCTATCAAAGGTCGTTTATCAAAGCCTAACGGAATTGCTGACCTGAAAGAATGAAAATTCGTGTTGCTAATTCAATGAGGGAGCTCGTGCTGTTGCTGGCTGGGATTGTCTCTGCCATGGCGCTGTCACGGATCCCTAATTAGCTGTTGAAATGTTTTTTAACAGCTGGCGAAACAATTACTTACTTCATCTAGAGAAACGGCACGTTTTCGCAGTTGCCATTGGCATAATTCCAGTGGCCGGCGCAATTGCAGGACGCGTTCTCTAATACCATGCCAGATTCAAAGCGTTTTGCCGGGTGTGGCATTAACTTAAATGGCTACATGCTGCTGGCCGTCGCGACACGGAGCATGGGACGGCTGATGACGACGGCTATTTGACACTGACACTGGCAACTTCAACTGGACATCGACAGAGAGAGCGAGAGCGACGTAATCTACTGATTCATATTATTGTCACGTTTATGCCTAGATTGGGATTTGATATTTCGTAACTGAAGTTCGAGGTGCATGCTGTAGGGAATCGTAGCTTGCATTGTTGTTGGCAATCCAACTGCTCGGTGCACTTTTTACGTGCAATTAACTTGGCCTTGTGCACTGCCTGGCCAAAGGTGAGGAGAATTTGCTGAGCCACTGAGAAGTATCCGTAAATGAATAATGAATGCAATTCAGCAAAATTCAATTTCAATGCGTCACTTAATCGGGCGTCGCTCATTAATTTATGACAGTCATTTTTAACGCTTTGCTGGCTACCAGCAATGACGACGTTGTAGACGTTGATGCCAACGCCCGCCCCCGCCCACTCAGTGCCTGCCAGTGACAGCTGATGTGACCCTAAGTCCCCCCGTACCTCCCTCCCTCCCCGCACGTTCCGCCCGCTTGGCAGGCCATACGTCAAATATTCAACGCAATTTTTCAATTGAATTGAATGAATTTTTGAATCGAGTGTATGAATGCCGCTTGACAAACGGCAGGGCAATCAAACACACGCCCTGCCGCTGTCTCCGCACACTCATTCAACACCACGCCCCCAACTGCGAATGACCAACTTTTGCTGCAGTCTGCAGCAGCCAAGACATATGCCATGCAAACATGTATATTCCGAGCTTATGCATAAGGCAATAAATGTGTTGCTCAACAAGCCAGGCTAAGTCCTAAGCTTCTCACTCTGCCAGCCCAAATACGAGTAGTCAAGTTGCAATATGGAGAAATTTTCTTTTCAAGCGTCATTTCACCTGACTTTAAAGCCTCATTGGTTAACGCTTTAGACTCTGCCTGTTTTGCTATTGTGGCCTCAATTTGAAGGTCTTTTAAGCTATGCTTTTCATGACCATTGAAAGTGGGAAATGGAAAAGGCAAATGGGAACTTTGGGTTTTGTGAACATGCATGGAATAGGCACAGAGAGGCGTGGCAGATCTTTGAGTATCATCAAACTTACACCTTACATACAAAACCATCGAAGCACACTTCTGCACTATTGAGATAAGTTATATTTATGAAAAGGGATCTCCTTTAGTCAAAGGTAAAAGTCCTCACTCCTCATTAGCTTGAGAAGTTGAGTCGATCTGGTCTTGTCCTGCACCACGTGTGCCCAAATTCGCAAAAACTTCCTTCAAACTCTAGAGACTTGTGTTAGGGCAAATACACACATCTGGAAGCCAATTTCAGGCTCTAAATATAGACTAAGCAAGTTAATCTAGAATAAAAGCTACTCCACAATTGAGCGAATGTATGTGTAATTGGCTATGTATGTATCAGAGAAGCTTGAAATGTATGCAATATCAGCTTTTCACTGGGTTCAGGGTATTTCCTAGTCGGGCAGTCTCGACTAAAAAGACTTTTGCATGTTTTTTGATCATGCTGTCATGATAAAAAATATATTTTGGGCTGTAAATATGTAAGCAAACTAACCAAAACGTTAGCCAACTTTATTCCACTGACTGAATTCATGAAGTTGAATTAGGAAACGAACTTCATGAATCTTGAATATATTTGAATTATTTGCAAGCAACGGAATGAAAGAGTGCTAAAATGTTTGGGAAATATGAGAGCAAATAGCTATTATTCTTACTATTATTAAGACTGGACAAGATCTTCTGAGCTAATGCGTCTGTCCAACTGTGAAGATGCAGATCTCGTAGCGCTCTGGCTGTCTCCTAGCATTGTGGCCGTCACTCGGGGATCGCGACACATATATATACATAAATATATATATAGGCAGACAGCGCTCACGAATGCAATCTAATTTAAAGTTTTCTAGCCGCGCGAATAAAACAAATGCAGTGGAAGCGGCGGGCGTTCGTGCGGCAAAAGGAATGCTCGGGATAGGAAGCGAATTCCATGCTGCAATTTGTTATCTCAAAAATGCAAAATTATGAGTTTATATAAAAGTTTCGCTGCGCTGCTTTGGTGGCCAGGAAGTGCCGCCACGGATGCTGGATAATAATTGTGCCTTTCCGCCAAATGTGAACGCAGCAGAAGGAGCACAAAAAAGCAAGCAAAGACAGGAGAAAGCAGAACAGATGAGAAGAGAAGCGAAGAAATCCTCGTAAACATAAACAGTGTAGCTCACACCGTGAGCCGCACTCAAACATAATTTAAGTTAGCGGGGGACAATCTATTACTTTCACAATATAACTTGGCAAATTGCTATAAAAATACTTAAGCTCAAAGGGGACTAAAATATTAAAACTACCAACAATCCGTTCATACGTTGTTCGACCTGATGATGCCCTGTAAACAGTTTCGTATTGCAGCAGCTATACGAAACTCAAACCCAAACAATATTGCTCAACAGGACTTACTAGCCTAGATCCAGTCGAAATTTCTTATTCTATTTCTATTCTTCCGATTCAATACCCTTTCCACATATTCAAATTTTCAATGTAGTAAAAAGCTGTTCTAGAACCTAGTTTCTCTCTCTCTCTCATTTTTATCTTTCTCTGCATCTTACTTTGACTTTTTTTTCTCTCTGTATCTCCTAGTTTCCCACTGTCTCCCTTTTATCATTGCCTGTCTCTCTCTGCTTCTCTTTGTTTTAGATCTAG